TTTCAACATAGTTCTTATTACAAAAGATATCCTGATATCTGATGTTATGTTCCTATCCTTTTAGGTCTTATGACTAGAGTAAATCCCCAGCTAACACTGAACTCCTCTGATTAGCTCTGCAAAACTGGAGCAGTAAAGGAGTATAGGAGACCTGCCTTTTCTGTCTCGTATATTCTGAATCCTCAGTGAAAGGTACTGGTTCTCACTGTAGGGACAACATCTTCAGGAGTAACCAGGAATAACCAAATGGAACCCATTTATCCATGAAGATCCAACCATTATCAGAAGTGATCCGATGTCTGCATATGGTTAAAACTATGATAACTATGATGAAAGAATACATTCATTCCACTTACCTTGGAGAAAATTGAATAAAATAGTAGTAATCACCCTCTTTTCCCTCTCTTTCTCTGTTCACTTTTATTGTGATTGCTATAGGTAAGTTAAAAGTTGCATTTAGAGCTTAAAGAACTCTTAGTAGAGAAAAAATTGAAGTTGGTTGTTTATTCCCACTTCTGTTCCCTTACTAGAGTGTTTTTTTAAAGGGGGATTTAATCTATGAAGTGAATATAATGCATGTGTTGCTGGATGCAAAATCTAAGCTTGTGGCAGAGCAGGCAAACTCATATACCAAAGTCTCAAGTCAGTCCAGATAAATCAAGTCATGGTGATCAGGTAATGCTGTTGGAAGGAAAAACCCAACTTTTTTACACAGTTTCGGACAAAATATAAAATTGCCTACCTATGAAATTAGCATGGCTCATAATTGTTACAGTTCCTAGGTTTCCAGTCTACTTGGCTTTAAAAAAAAGTATTCAAAAATTATTTGTTTATTTTGGTTCTGAAACTTGGTTTCCTCCTTCCAGGAGGTGATGGGATTTTAAGATCTCTTGACCAATAATTGGCATTATATGGTGTGTGTGTGTGTTTTTTTTTAAAGATCTGTAATTTATTATTATTTATTTAAATCCTGTTTTGGACCAAAAGGAAGAGGGCCCGCATTTCATATCAGACGACTAAATAAATGTGCCAAATACTGTGCAATTTATCCTAAATTGTACAGGTCTCACTTTCAAGATAATGAGGTGAGTTACAGAGAAGAGCCAAATATTATTTTTAAACAAAGTTTTTTATTGTTTTTTAATACAAACAACATGTTTATGTCCAGGTTTTCCTCTTTTATATCCTCTTTTATACATAATCCATTTTACATCATAATTCTATTTCCAATTCCAACTCTATTATTCTCTTCTCATATTTTCCATCTTAAACTTATTTTCTTCTTGTTATATAAACAATATCATTAATTGCCCCTTCAAAGTTATACC